TATAAACCTCTAAAATTCATTTGTGGCCATTTTATTATTGTTTTTTTAGTAGTTGGGTTCTGGGTCATGGAAATATGTATCTTAAAGTTAATTTCATTAGTAATATAAATTTTTATTTACATTTTATTACTTTTATTATTTTTATTCAAAGATGTTTTCAAATAGTTTTTAAGCTACAAGTTTTCATTAACTATAACTAGGGCCCTATGAAATCGGTTTTATTTTTTTCCGAATTCCATTTCTGTTGTAATTTTTCTAGACTCTGTTTTTATAGTTAAATTTAAATTTTGTTAATCAAAAAGCGTGTCTAATTAATTTCAATCATCAAACTTTCAATATTAAACGGCATTTTACATTACATTTTTAAGGCCCTATGAAATATTTTATTTATTTTTTCTCAAATTCAGTTTGATTTTTTATCAAACACTGTTTCCATTACTTTTCTGGATTCCCTTTTAATGGTTGTGTTAAATTTTAATAATCAAAAGCATCTCGAATTAATTTTTTTACAAATTATTTTAACTTTAGGTTTCTGTTTGTATATATGATATGATGATAGTTTTTTTTCTAACAAGTAACAGTAAAATGCTCATATTTATGTGTTCATATACAGGCAGCAGCATGCTTCAGTATGCGTGTAGCAAATAGTGTTTTGCAGCTTAATATTCACATACTTATCCAAACAAAATTTGTCAAATTCCGTGACATTCCGCGTTATACAGTAAATTGTTTTTATGACTGGATTCCGCGTTTCCGTCCGTGTTTTCTGCATCACGGAAATCATAACACACAGCAATACTGTATCCATTTGGCATTTTAAAGCTGGAAATATTCACCGACCATAGTGTTCAGCTAATGCTTCTGTGGTAAGCTGACAAAGTTAATTCTCTTATAGTCCAGATAAAGAGCAAAGACTGCGCTTTGCACTTTGTGGTGTTTACTGTCAGGCTTCAGGGGCGAGGCAAATGTCATTCATGGCCTTCAACGCTTAAAGCCATGCATTCAAAGGTTGAACAGGCCTCTGGGGGGTGAAGTTAACATCTCAATTAGCTATGGTGCGTCACGTTCTACTTCATTTTCGTGACTCGGGGCTATGGCATCGGCTCACCGCGACCAGCAATGCTCGTGTGCTGCGCCAATGTTGAACACGTGTGAGGCTCTTCTGTTAGCCACACATATACGCTATTCTTGCGCCAATCTAATAAGGTTAAAGAGGCGTGAGATTGCTAGTGCTTAGCTTGATATACTGTGATGTAATAATGCATTAAGCTCCTCCGCTAACTGTGACATGGCCTGTCATGAGAACAGGTCACAGTCGCTTGAGCAACTTAATGTTTTAAACATCCAGGTTACTGTGCACCACTTGATATGCATAATACTGTTCCTGAAACGTATATAATCGGTTCTTTTTCATTACTAAAGTGGCAGCTATAGCCAGGGAAATTAAACTTTAGAATTTTTTTATTGTATTTTTTTATTTATTTTATCTTTAGTTTCTTATTTCAGTTCAGTTTTTTTCAATTTCTTTTTACTCAATTGCTTGGTTTTAGTTTTTCTTCAACAAAATTCTGCTCCTGTCCACCTGCTTTTGGCATCATTGCAGTCTGAATCACTTACCATACAGCATAAATTAATTCTTTGTTATTTTTTTCTTTTCTTATACATTTTTATTTTATCTGTACAGCATACAGCATTAATTTAAACTTTTTTTTTCTTATAAATTTTTGTTTTCTTATTTTACTTTTTTTGTTTTATAGATTTTGTAATGAAAAGTTAAGGTTAAAGTTTAAAAATACTTTGTACCTACTTAGTATTTGTACCAGGGGTGTCCCCGACTAAGGATTTTCATAGTCGAATCGGAATTTTCGAATCTTGCCGATAATCGACTGATAGTCAAATCATATGTTTGGGGGCGGGGCAAAATACATTACCAAGAGTCAAGTCAGACATTCGACAGTCATAATTACGTTAACACACATGTGTAACGGATGCCTCGCAGATACAAACGGGGTAAATAATGTATTGATTAAAAGATAGTTAACATTAAACGTCAGCGAAACCCTAAGAATTCACAACATTTTACATTACAATAGTGCTCTCATTATAACGTTATGTATATGACAGTAGTTATTATTGTTCTGCATTTTTGTTTTGAGCTGCGTGCGCTGAAGATGACCAGTAGAATGAAGCTGCAGGTTTTTAATCAATGGGATTTATCTCCTCATTTAACTTGTATAGAATACGCTTCGTTATTTATACAACATAACGTTAATATTACGACTTATAGGCTATCTGCACAATATGCCCCAAATGCACATGAAGGTGTCTGCGTGGCTCTGAATGAATTCCTTTTGTGGACGCGTTCTTCACGCAACAGCGTGCAGAAACACAGCAACTAAACGCTTAAAATTCACAGCGGTTTATTATAATAGTGTTCTCATTATAATTGTTATATATATGACAGTCCCAGTCATAGTTATTAATATTGTGCATTGTTGTTTGTCCTGCTCGCGCTGAAGAGATAATCACCGTAGTACTACAGTGAAGCGCTTTACTGCAGCGCAACTCAACCAAATGCATCTTATACGAGATAAGTAATATATACACGATATTTATAAACCGGCTGAAATGTTTTGAAATCACTTGTACCCTACCTGATTGAAAAAATCCAGTCTTTCATTCTGCCTGTGTCAATTTGAGTCATGCTAAAGATTTAAATCGCTGCCACCAAGATGCTCCTCTGTCGGTCACGGATTATGGAAAGTGAAACTTAAATCTAAAGGGGTGGTTGGATTTATTCACACACGCTAAAATATTTATTTGAAGCTTTTTTCTTTTCAGATTCTTATTTAAAGCATTATTTATTAGGCTGTATATTAACTTATTGGGAGAAAACCAGTAGTTCTATGTGAAATCAGACATTTGAGCACCTCTCATAGCCAAAATAGCATGATCATAACACTCCGCGAATATTCGACTGTGAGATTGGTGGTCAAATAAGGCTCCTCCTATCGAATCTTCGACTATTCACCCCTAATTTGTACTTTTGGTATTTGTACTCTTTTGAAAAGTAAATGCTGTTTAAGAAAAAGAAACATCTTTTATATTTTATATTAAAAGTATATTTGTTACTTCACATATTTATAGTTTATTTAGTTTAAGTATTTGTTTTAATTTTAGTAAATTGGTGTGTTAATTGATATCATATAAATAGCTGCGTTAAATTTCTTCACAATATATTCTGTCCCCAAAAAATTTAAATATATATATTTGTAATTTTTATTTTGTTAATCTTGGAGTTAAAAAAATTTGTTTCCGTCTTTTTAAATTTTAAATTTATTATTTTTTACAGTTAAATTAGTTTTACTTTTATTTTAGTTTAGTTAACAAAGATGTTTTAATTTAGCAAAACTGACTATAACCCAGTGTCTTTTTTACTTAATAAAACATGCATTTGCCTTCAGAGATTTTACTGGAAACTGCGTTTAAACACAAAAGTAAATGCTGTTTATTACATTTTTAAAATGTCATTCTAAAAGTATATTTGTTTCTTCAGATATTTATAGTTTATTTGGTTTAAGTATTTGTTTTTAGTAATTTTAGTAAGTTAGTGTGTTAAAATAGCTGCGTTTGATATCTCTACAATATATTCTGTCCCCAAAAAATTAAATTATTATAATTTTTTTTTATGTTAGTTTTGGAGTCATAACATTTATTTTATTTTCAGTTTTTATTTTATTTTAAATGTATTTATTTATTTGTTCAATTATTATTTTTTTTATTTAGTAGCACTAACAGCCCAATGTAGATATTTATAGTTTATTTGGTTTAAGTATTTGTTTTTAGTAATTTTAGTAAGTTAGTGTGTTAAAATAGCTGCGTTTGATATCTCTACAATATATTCTGTCCCCAAAAAATTAAATTATTATAATTTTTTTTATGTTAGTTTTGGAGTCATAACATTTATTTTATTTTCAGTTTTTATTTTATTTTAAATGTATTTATTTATTTGTTCAATTATTATTTTTTTTATTTAGTAGCACTAACAGCCCAATGTATTTTTTTTTCCCATAATAAAAAACATGTATTTGCTTCCACAGAGATTTTATTGGAAACTGCATTTAAACACCCGCAGGAAGTGGCACATTTCCCATGTGCTCCATCGTCAGACCACAGGTGTAAGAGGTTATTTGACAGCACCGTTTAGGGACACGCCGCTGAGCTGACCTTGAATGTCTTCACTCACCCAGATGAAGTGAAAACCGAGAAAGAAGCATCCCGATCGAACGTATTGCTTTTGCCCTTGACACGCATAGGCTGGCCAGCTCGATTCCCTGTCCTCCCTCAGAGGAAAAACTCCACTAAACTATCTGACAGTTCACCAGGAACCTGACAATATCTGGCTTTAAGCAGGCAACCCAGTACCTCAGCCCTTCCGCTCACTCACCTCCATTAATCATCAATTAAGCAACATCTTTCATTTTTGAACACACCACCTTGTCCAGTTACAACCCCACATCGACGTCCCCTGCTTACGGTCACTTCCGTGGTTGTGTGTTACTGTCATGAACCCTGTCGACAGACCTTGTCAGTGCTGCCTTTAACTTGACTCCATCCTTACTGCCAGTCTCTCTACCTCAACCAGGGTTTGAATTTCCTGAAAGCTAGAATTCATTCTCGGCGGCTCTCGTGAATGTGCAGCATTGTTTATTTCCCAGCTTTAAGACTTGCACGGCTTTACGTCCAACCTGCGGATGATTGCACTCGAGGTGCTCGTAAATGTTGTGGCGTGCGAGGCGAGAGCCGTTCGAAATGCTTACCTCCAAACGCAAGCACTCTGTATTCACTCAGCAGACACTTATGGCCCCCTGAAAGAGATCATCTTTATTCATGGATGTGTTGAGGCATTACTGGGGAAAACATGGTTAAAACGCACAGGCCGGAGTGATAGAATGTTTGCCGTCTTTAAAATTGCACCTTTTCCTCTCTCTTTCTCTCAGATGTATCCGGAGGAGGTGCGGTGGCCCATGGTGCTCAGGGTGAACGGGGAGTTTTGAGTTCTGTGCTGAGGGACTTGGTAAAACCTGGAGACGAGAACCTGCGTGAGATGAACAAAAAGCTGCAGAACATGCTGGAAGAGCAACTGACAAAGAACATGCACCTACAGAAGGTAAAGAGAGGGAATGCCAGCCGTTTGGGGTGGGAAAGACAGGCTTTTATGATCAAGGTCAGTTTAGGTTGGATATAAAACCTTCTTTTGAAAGGCGATTTGAGGCCCACACAGAATCTGTGCCTATAGACCTACAAGAAAGCTCAGTAGATATCAGAATTTGTACATTACAGCAAAATAAAAACAAGATCTGCTCCTGTCTCGCTATATATTTTTAAAGTTTTCGTTATCATTGCAGGGCTTCCAAGACAGCACTCTTGTCATTTGTACACTTGTAAAATTTTTCACTTGTAATTTCTCTCCTTTTTATATTCTTTATGTTCTGCAATTAAGTTATACAACATTTTATTTTATTTTGTTATTATTTGTTTATTTTATTTATTTGGTTTTGCTTTTATTTCTTTTTTCATTTAATAATTTAGTTTTATAGACCTTTATATTTCTTTTGAAATGTAAGGTTAAAGTTTAATGTAAATATATAAAATACATAAAATAAGACTAGAATAATATAGTCTCTTATGCTCACCAAGGCTGCATTTATTCAATAAAAATACAGTAAAAAATGGCAATATTGTGAAATATTATTACAATATAAAGGAATTATTTTCCATTTCAATATTTTAAAATGTAATTTCTCTCATTTTTATTTATTTTATTTATTTATTTATTTGCAATCAAGTCAGCCTGAACCACTTAACATGTTTTAAAATTATTTTATTTTATTATTTTATTTTATTGTTTTAATGTCTTTCTTTTCAAATTTAAGGTTAAAGTTGAAAATATTTGTATATTTGTACCTACTTGCTGTTCTCACTTTTTGTATCTGCAATTTTAAAAAGCAAATGCTGTTTAAGCAAAAGATCAAATTTAAATACTTTGTTGCAATACTCCTTTTTTACACATTCTGCAGAATTCTACTCAAAGTGCAAGTGCAAAAAAGTGCAGATTTCAAGTGGGTTCTATTAGCAATGGCCAAGTTCCTTGGCATGTCTTTAATTCGAAAAAAAAAAGTGAGACTTGCATTTGATGCTTCATGGGGAATAAAGAGCTGAACCGTGTTGAGCAATGACTCATTCAGGTGAGTAGAGGTGAAGTGACCATGAGTTTTCCACCTGCTAGAGAAAAGGTGACTGCAGTCGCTCTGACAGCGTGATTGGCAGACTGTGTGATCACACGTTTGTGTGTGTGTGTGTGTGTGTGTAGGTGGCTTGCTGTTATACGGTCCTGAGACTCCACTGAGAGGTCTTATTCATCAGCAAGCAGAGGGTGGGTGTGTTGTTAAATGCTAAAACGTTTCTAGGAGCAGGAATAGAAAGTGCACGTCAGGCAGCCTACAGGGTGATGCGTTTGATGGGATTACACCATCACACAGATTGACTAATGACAATTAACCTCTCACACCCCTCTTGATATTTCCAGAGCCGCACATCGTTAATGGCTGGTTTGTTCCTGTAGTGAAGCCATGTGTTGGTTTGTTTGAATTATATTAAAAACTAATATGTGCTGTAATATTATAGTCTCTTATATGCTCACCAAGCTGCATTTATTTGATTAAAAAAAACACAGTAAAAACAGTCATACTGTGAAATATTATTAATTCTTTTAGATTTGAATACATTTTAAAATATAATTATTCCTGTGGTGGCAAAGCTGAATTTTCAGCATCATTACTTCAGTCTTCAGTATCACAATACTTCAGAAATCATTGTGATGATTTCCTGATGAATTATTATAAATTATTATTGCTGCTCATTAATAATGCTTCTTATTATGATCAATACTACTTAATATTTTTGTAGAAACTGATACTTTTTTTCAGAATTCTTTGATGAATAAAAAATAAAAAACAGCATTTATTTGAAATGGACATCTTTTATAACATTATACATGTCTTTACTGTCACTTTTGACCAATTTATTGCATTAACAAAGAAATAATAATAATCCGCATGTTAGAATGATTTTTTTGAAGTATCATATGACACTGAAAACTAAAGAAATGTCTGCTGAAAATTCAGCTTTGCCATCTTTGGATAAAAGCGTCTGCTAAAATGCATACATGTATTGTATATATCACAATGTGCTTATTTTTGGCTGGAAACTAAACCCAAAAATGTCTTAAAGATTACATAAACAATATAGTAAAGTCTATTTTTGTATAATCCAGTGATTTAAATAAATAACAAATGAAAGGGACTTCATTTTATTCTTCTCTGTTTAAATGGAACTGGATGGATACAAACCAGAAGACTATTCATATCAAATCAATAAGTCTGGAATCGGTGCAAAAACAGCGGCTTCACGTTATGCAAGTCTTAAGTTAAAAACAAAAGACTCGCAACAGTAATACATTATACATTTGATTGGATGAGCCACGTTCAGAGACGTTATATGCACACTTGCTACTTCACATTCGTTACATTCTTTATTAATGCACCAATGTGTGATGCATGGTGCTCTGTTTTGTGAATCCGAATAAAATCCTTACTGAGGGGGCGTTTGAGCCGATGTGAGGCCCGGAGACAGTCTGGATGTTGGAGGAGCGCATCTTGTGTCTCTGTGTGTGTGTGTTGGTGCCCAGGGGGAGTTGTAGGTTGCAAAAACACCCTGCCGTAACCTTGGCAGAGACAAACGATGCAAACTAAGACCAAGATGGAGTGACGATCCCTCTGCAAAGCTTGGCCATAACTAAGAACAGAAAGTTTCCTGCAACACAAACCTTTCTAAATCGATTCACAAACATCTTGGGAAGCTTATGAGGGATGTAGTCTGGTCAACCTTAGCGCTGGTTATGTTTGCAGTTTGACACTTAAAAATGGATAGTTCCAACTTTAAAATCAGTTTGGTTGAAGCTGTAATATGCACCCACCTGTAAGCACTCAAACTCAGCTCTAGTTGGAAGAGGAATAGTTTTATTTGATTATTATCATTACTAAATGTAGTTATTTCATAGTGGTGCTTCATAGCTAAAAGCCTTAACAATATATATCATGATGATAATTGAATTTTTTGCCATCTTCATGCTTTGGATTACATGCACTTAACAGTAAACGTGTTGAATGCTGCAGCTTGTGTTGTTGTGGATGGTGTTCGATACAGAAACGCAGTGGAAAACGATCCTGCAGGCTACTGCAGCAGTGAGCGCCCGTGATGCGTCTAGCTCGTTAACAGCCGATTAAGCATTCGTTTTTCCTGCAGACAAGATGAGAAAAATCTGGAGATGCTTAAAATCCAATGAGCACGATCTACAGCATTCTACAAAGCTTCCTGTTTTTCTCTCTGTATATGTCCGTCTCTCTGTCTCTCATAGTGCTCATCACACCATCAAAACCCTTGTAAAGTGCTTTTGAAGTTTATATCACACTGATGCCACTTTACAAGTCAAAGACAAATTACACCAAGATACATTTGTCCCCAGGGTTCAGTTGCATAAACATAGCCCCTTTTAAGGCTATGTCTTATGAGCTAGTTTGATTAAATTAGCAGTTAGCTAAGAGGTAATCAGTCTTATTTTTCAGATTCAAATTGGGCCAATCAACCTTTTTGACTTTAAAAAGTTATGAGCAGTATTGAGGTAAACAAGTTAGATGACTAACTTTTAAGACTGGTTTTAGCAGTTTATGAAACCAGCCTGATCATTTTAAAAGGCTGAAAGTCATGATATAAGTGAGTGACTTTATAAAACGGATAGTTCCGTTCCTTGATTCTGATTGGTTGAGCCGCGTTCGAAGCTGTTGTAAATTACTCTACAAACATACACCTTTGTTTACTTTGTGTGTTGATTGGCAACCACTTTATTGCAACCACAACTGTTTCTGAGGAACTACATTGTTTGGTGGAAGAATACTGTTTTTATTAATAATTGCACTTTATTTGCTCTGTTTTATTTTGTGAAACCTAACTACGTATTTGGAATAACCGTTTTATAAAAGCAATAAGCCCCGTGAAGCCGTGGTTTACAGTGAATTTATAACCGCTAAGGGGGTTACCGCCCTTTAGCGGTTATAAATTCACTGTAAACCACGGCTTCTTGGGGCTTATTGCTTTATTACACCCCAAAAAACTAAAGCATGTTTTTTGAAAAAAAAAATTTTTTTTAAATAAACATTTTCATGACAGTTATTCACCCAACCACAGCCCAGTTTAAATTTTTATTGCCTCATTTTCGTTTTATTAGACTTTTAAAAATAATTTTCAATAAACTCAGTGATTATTATCATTAGGTTGTCATTACTGTAATACAGTATTTTTACAGTAACAAAATTTGCTTTGACGATTTTTTTTGCCAATTGCCATTAATATATGAATAATTATAATATATTCTAAATTTTTATTATCATTAGATTGTCATTGCCAAATATTTTTACAGCAATACAGTTTTTACAATTTAAGTTTTTATTTAAATTTACATAAAGCAGTGCAACATGCTACTATGATGTATACATATTTTTCATTTAAATTAGTCATTTTTCATTTTTTTCAGTATTGTAATGAGAATTGGGGAGGATGTGCATAATTTCAGTTAAAAATAACCCTAACAAAAGTTTTATTTTAAACTAAATATACTGTATAATTTTAGTATTATGTATTATACTTTATATAATTGAGATATATTTTTAATAATGTTATAAAAAATTTGACACACTTTTGCAGAGCAAACTATCAATGGGGAAGCCATAACTATAGACCAAAATGGCCACTGTCTACTGTTGTGGATTTTGGACGTCTTTTTCTAATCCAGCGAGCAACCACCTCATGAATATTTACTGGCAGTTGGGGCCACCAGCCCAGAAACAAACAGTCCACTTAATATTTGATGGCTTTTTTGCTTTAGAGTGAACACACGGTGTTGTGTGTGTGTGAGTGTGTGTTTGTTTGTGAGAGAATGAGAGTATAATACCATGTGAGATTACAGCTGAACTCGGGCCTGACTGCCTAATGTTGTCCTTCGTACCCACATATTCGGCAGGATATTCTGGGTTGCTTTCAACTATGTGTAAAGCTTAGCAGGAGGGAGGAACTGTAAATAAACATTTACAGTATGCAACTACCACATATTTTCAATAGTGCACTCTTCATTAGAATCACGTTTAAATTCTTGGTTTGTCTTGCAGGATCTGGAAGTTTTGTCTCAGGAGATCGTGCGTTTGAGTAAAGACGCCACCCCTACGGAAAACTCCAAAGCCACAGGATAAAACTGGACGCCGTCCACCTGATTATTCAGTACCCTACTCTTTCTCTTTCTCTCATCTTTTCACGGCTACCAGGAGGAAACTACATCCATCAACATCGTACAAAGACCTCCAGCAATCTCAGATGTACCAGGAGCACAGAGGGTCAAAACAGATCAAGTCCATCTGTGATTTACATACTACTGAATGTACCATAACACTTTATATGTTTGTCTGGGACGGGAAAGTACTGTTAGAAAAGGGTCTGTCGAGCAAACCCTGGCGGCTTGACATCCGTGAGTGCTCGGGACAGTGGCATGGCATCGGTGGTCCAAACAGGACCGTTCTACCCACCACTAATTCCCCCGTTCAGGAAAGCGTGTGTCTAACGTTGGTGTCCTCAAACTGCTCTCGTTGTTGTATTGCCTGTTTTGTATATTTGATTCGCTAAAGACACTTACTGTATGTGTATATGGGGCTATTTATTCTTGCCAGAAAATCCAAATATCATCATGTCTACATCTTTACAGTATGCTGCTCGTATCTGAAAGAAACTGGCTAAAATCTCAAGTTCTGCACTTCGTTATATAAAAAAAAAAAAATTCAGGAAGTTTTCCAGCGAGAGCGAGAGAGCATGCATTTAATTGCTGCGATAATTATCGGAGCATTTTTGTGGGGCGCTCAAAATGTTCCCGTGAAGGAAAGCAGCTCCCTGGACTCCCCTCGTTAAGCAGCAATCTCTCCGCAGCTTAACGACTCAATTTGACACCTCTCTGTCTCTCTCGGAACTGACGGCGCTGTCGGGGAACGGACCAATTTCTCCCAGCGCACACTTGACTCCCATGAGAATCTAGCCGCCTGTTTTAGTGTGTAACACCAGTTTGTTTTGTGCACGTCAACGCCCTATCGTTTTTTTTGTGAATGTTGCAACATGATTCTGCTTTTATGCATTTATGCAGTTTTTGCGAACATTTTAAATTCTGATGCACTCAGAAATATTTTATTTGGAGAGTGTAACGTTAATTTAATCGTTGGTCCTCAAACTCCATGTTTTGGATCCATTGTATCTTGATTTTTCCAATCGTTTACCAACGAACTACAGCTCTTAGTCAGAAAAGACGCCATTTCATTTAACGCAAATGAAAGCTCATCATTGAGTTGGCGAAATATCAGCCTCTTTTTCATTCATGTCAAATTAAATATGGCACATGCTCCATTGATCATTTTAGGTGCAATGAATATTGACCAATTATTTGCTTAGTTCGTTCTGATTGCACAACAGAACATAGTAGATTGAACATTTCACGTGACATTATGGATTTAGTGTCCACCTTATTCCTCAACGGTTCTGTATTAATTTAGAGATATATATGTATATTCACCTTGGCAAAATTATGTTTTATGATTTGTGAGATGTGAACGATTTGCAGATCTTTGCAATGCTTTAAGCTTTATTACGACGACTGTTCGTTTCCATGTTCTTGGCACATGAGCGTGACGTTCGTGCATGGTGCGTTAAATGCCTGTCAAATCCCTGTCTCTGGCTTCTTAAGGAAATCCCGACGGTATGATTTTCCATATTCCTTTCGTTTATACCATACAGTAGGACAATTCAGAAGAAATTCTTTCATTTCAGTATTGTAATGAGAATTGGGGAGGATGTGCATAATTTCAGTTAAAAATAACCCTAACAAAAGTTTTATTTTAAACTAAATATACTGTATAATTTTAGTATTATGTATTATACTTTATATAATTGAGATATATTTTTAATAATGTTATTAAAAATTTGACACACTTTTGCAGAGCAAACTATCAATGGGGAAGCCATAACTATAGACCAAAATGGCCACTGTCTACTGTTGTGGATTTTGGACGTCTTTTTCTAATCCAGCGAGCAACCACCTCATGAATATTTACTGGAGCATGGTGCGTTAAATGCCTGTCAAATCCCTGTCTCTGGCTTCTTAAGGAAATCCCGACGGTATGATTTTCCATATTCCTTTCGTTTATACCATACAGTAGGACAATTCAGAAGAAATTCTTTCATTTCCACAATTGAGGAAACTGACAGATCGATTCACTTGGATGATTGCACTCAAAAGAATAAAGGATGTTTGCCTTTGAAGCTCAGAGGCATTAAATTGTTTTGCCTTTTACTCTTCTAATCTAATATCTGGCAAGCAAGCTCTTCTTTAATTAAGATCATCTTTTAATCATCACTAACTACATGTAAGCAGATTCTATTATTAAGGTCCGATCTCCCACTACATCTCTACGGCTAATATTTATTTATGTGCATTTCATTGTCATGTTCAGACTTCCATAACTTGCTGTGATAATAAAGAATGGCTGGGAAAAAAACAGTGTCTGAGTGTCAGACTTTCTATGATTTGTTTACAATGTATATTTTATGCATTTGACAGATGCTTTTTATTGTATACTTTTTTTGTATCAGCACAGGTGTGCCCTGGGAGTCAAACCAATGACATGCTGTACCAGTTGAGCTAGAGGAACCACAATTCGTACATCACAAAGGTTTTTCTTTCTTGAAATTTTGTGGTTTTATTTAAGAGTAGTGCATTACATCTGATTAAAAATAAAGGTTCCAAGAGGGGGTTTACACAGTGATGCCAATGAAGAACATTTCAATGAGCAACTCTTAAAAGAACCATTTTTTTCTTTGTGTCATGAACATTATAATAATGTAAAGAACCTTTTTGCACTGTAAAGGATCTTTTGTGCAATCAAAAGACTCATTGGATGTTGAAGGATCTTAATGGAATCATCTATGCCAATAAAGAACCTTTATTTTTAAGAGTGTAGTTAATAGTTCAGTGAAAAATGAAAATTCTGTTATTTACTCACTGTCATGTTCCAAACCAATATGACTTATTTTCTTCTGTGAAGAACACAGACAAAAATATATAGAACACTGCTTTTATTCAATGACAGTAAACAGCATCCAAAAACAACTTTGGACCCCATTGACTTTCATTGTATGGACAAACACTTTTCTTTTTCTTTTTTGTTTTCCATAGAAGTCAGTCATACAGGTTTGGAATGATAAATGCTGGTTCCTCCCCAGGTCAGTGGGCTGTACACACAAGTACCTCTTTTTCACTGAGTGTTTGTCTAATAGATTGGTTAATCTCTCCTCTGAGCACAAGCTGTGTTTACTGCACTATCAATGATGCCTGTAAGAACAGTAAACAAATGACACGAATCATTGAACAGCGTTTAATTGGAGCCGTTCAAATACTGCTGTCATCTTTGTCTTCGTCACTGTTCAGTGAGTGTGATCCCTAATCAACACTACATGCTGAAGGGCTCCACTGCTCTGCATTGGGTTTCATCCTTACAATGACCAAAGGCCTCATCAAATAGACAATCCAGGAAGACTTGAAAGGTTTTAAAATTGGGTTTCAGTTTATTATATTCTCATTTACAGAGGTAAACAACATTGCCACACCAGCCAATGGTGAGTAAATGGAGAAAATTTACTGGCCATAAATATTCATCACCTGTCATGAAACTTTTTATTTTATGGAAGCTTATCAAAGTAAGATTATTTTTTTTATTATTTGTCTTTAAAATAACTATAAAAATCTATAATTTTTTAAAAAGTATAATCTATCAAATCTATAAAAATATCTCAAATCTATAAAAATTACATAAAAAAATTTTTGTAAACAGACTTCCACTACATTAAAAATATTTTGAAAATTAAAATATATATGTTTTTGCTCCTATTGAAAGTTAGTTTTTTTTCCCATATATGCATTTTAAAATATTAAAGTAGCTTTTTAAAAATATACTAATATAAAATATATTATATGATTACATTTTTCAGTCAAAGCAGTATATTTCTGATGCAAAAAACAATGAGAATGTTAATGACGGCATTAAACTACTTTTGAACAGATCAATTTAGACTAACCCCCAATTAAACTGGAGAGTAAATTATTATAATAAAATGAACAGCAGAATTTGACAATAAGATGTTTTTTGTTTGTTTGTTTTTTCTTAAACCTTTGTAACACTTTACTTAAAGCCTTCATATATAATGCATTACCAAGGTATTCATAATGTACGTTGTAATACATTATATCTCTCAATAAATAATTGTAACTAAAGTAAAAATGCGTTATAATATTTGACAGTTTGTTTGTCATGTGTTTTAATGCATTAACATTTTTAGAGATGTAGCGATGATGAATAGATAAGTACTATAATGTATTATGTCTATGGTTACAGTTATGAGATCATACAATAAATTATAAGGTGCATTAAAAGCCATAACTAATGCATTAAGAATACTTTAATAATGCATTGCATAAATATCATTTTATATGTGGCTAAAAAGTAGATTTCTGTCAGTCATTTTCGAACTGGTTTGTTTAAATAAACCACTTCACATTGGGTGGTTATTTTGCTTCAATGTGGTGCATTAAAATCATTTAATGTACAGCTATCATTGGATTATCCCTTACGAAATCAATGCAAATGTGGTACAGCTCTTCCTCAGCCAAAAACAGTACTCTTCAACACATTTATCAAGTGTTTATTTTATTTAATAGCATAAAATGCGATAAAAGTCAGGTCACTGAAACGCACACTCATGGGTACTACAGTAAACAAGGCATTAGTGGATTGACTGAAATCTAACCAATACCTAATAAAGAAAGGAATTATTCAGGATGGGAAAATAGTACGACTGAATCTTTCCAATGGTTGCTCATTAGTTTAAGTTGCAGATTTAATGTGGCCGAGGGGCTCTTCAGCATCTTAAGTGAAATGATTAAAGCATCGATTTGTAGTCAACACACCTACACCTCAGAACATAACACTACGTCACAGTTAAAACTCTCCTGTGAGCTCCAACTTCTTGTTTCGGTCTACATTTGGACTGTTTTATCATTACAGGTGACTAGGGATATTCTGCATTGATTGGAGCTGCTTTCACATAATTGTCTTTGCTTCTGGTTATTGTTTGTGACTATGGTGGGTCGAGCAGCTGTAAATTCAAAGCCTTAGAAAGATCGAAATCACTGTTGTAACTCTGCTGTCTGCTTTTGTGTCTTTTGCTGCAGTAATTTAGCCGTGAAGCCTTGTATTGACATCGGAGTTGTAGAAATTGAACGCAAGGGTTGTCAGATGGAAAAGGTTGGAGAATTACTCCCAAGGGTGTTGGAGAAAACATCCATTCCAATGCTCCCATGATTCCTTTGGTAAGTGGTTTTCCACTTCAAGTCAATGAAAGAGACACTTCTTGTCTCTTCCTAATACCTCCTCCTACTGAGTGTCAGTTTGAATTTTAAATGGCTTGAAACCAGTTTTAGGAGTAACGCATTCAATGTAACACGAGTTATGTAATCAGATTACTTTTTTCAAGTAACTTGTAATGTTATGCATTACTTTTTCATTTACAAGAAAATATCTGAGTTACTTTTTCAAATAAGTAATGCCAGATAATGTGTTTTGACTGACAGCTCTCTTGTGCCCATATTGAGAGAAATCAGGAGTAAGTGCAGAGGCATTGTGTGCGCTGTCTAAACATGATGTTAGTTCTAGCATTTACTCATCTCGTCTGCACAAAAACAGATTTAGTATTCCTCAAAATGAAATGCAAACTTAGAATATAGCAACACAAATATCATATGTATTTACATTTTCCCGTTTTATTAACCAATATCTTTGCTGCTGATGTTCACTGATCCAATTGAACCATAATATGAAAACGTGACTTTAGATAAACATGACATTTGTGTTTCTTTTTTTACTTTTTCCTGAACAGTATCGAACTTTGTTCTCCTGCGTCCTATTCTTCATGCAGTCCAGAATGGTTGAGAATTCATTTCTTTTTTTGGTGTGAAAGGGCTTTTACATTTGCTTAAAGTATAACTTTTTTTTTGTAAAAACAAACAAGCAAGCCCAGCCCAGATGAGAAAAAGTAACGTAACACATTACTTTCCATAAAAAGTAACTAAGTAATGCAATTAGTTACTTTCTTAGGGAGTAACGCAATATGGTAATGCATTACTTTCTAAAGTAACTTAACCCCAACACTGCTTGAAACACTGGTTAAACATTCCTTTATTTTGAAAGATATGGTGTTGCTTAATCTAGGGTTGAAAAAATGGACGTAACCTAGAGTTAATAAAGATGTAAAACCAAGGTTAAGCAGTTTCGAGCATCTAAATTGAAAAGAACAACGGACAAATGGGGCTGTAAGAAATCGTTTTGCGTTCCTTGCAAGTTTCTGTTTCTATATTTGCATTTGAGGATATTGATCAGAGCATTCAATCTGTCCAGAAAGAGTTGTACTGTACTCTAGTGTTCTCCAAATATTTTGCCTGCGCATTTCCAGAGTTAGAAAGCAGACGTATCTCATTGCCTCCGTCCTCTAGAAAGGTTCTTGGTGTTGTTTTGCTCTGATGTATTTAAAACCCAGATGATATGACCCTGGATTGTGACCCTGCATTGGGACTCAGTGTTGATATCCTTGACA